TTGTCTCACATACTTTGGACATGTTATCAGGAGGGACCAGTCCCTGGAGAAGGACATCATGCTTGGTAAAGTAGAGGGTCAGCAAAAAAGAGGAAGGCCCTCAATGAGATGGATTGACACAGTGGCTGCAATGATGGGCTCCAAGCATAGCGACAATTGTGAGGATGGCACAGGACTGGGCAGTTTTTCATTGTGTTGTACCCAGGGTCGCTATGAGTTGGAACTGACTCGATAGCACCTAACAACAAACAACAACAATACCGAAAGACTACTTCTTATTTTCCTTAAATCTTTAAATTTCAGAGGACAGAACCTACAAAAGATGATTTTCTTTTTGCAATCCTTTTTAAAACTATCCCTATTGTTTAAAAATATTACTAAGAACGAAAGAAGTGCCTTTCAATGATTCATGTTTATATTTTCATCTCGTTTCTTCTTTTAACGAAGAAAATCTCAATTCTGATTCTTTAAGGATAGCAACAACTCTGGCAGTTTTTACTACATCCAAAGAAGGAATGGTATGGAAATGGCTGAAAGTGTAAAAAGTGGAGGATCCCAGAGACTATAAGGTTCTGTAAATCCATTCCAGCCTCTAGACCTTGCTTTCATGGTAAGCCTCACCTAGGGAAGTGGGTCAAGAACCACAGTCTTTAAATACTAGCACAAGGAACAAGGGATTTTATAAATTCTTGTTGCATGAGATTTTTGTTATCAAAGTACTGCATATAGAAGTGAACTTGGGATTAGTATTCTTTGCCTTGTATAGGGCCCCAGAAGCCTTACCTTTATTACTGCTAGTTGATGCTTTCTTGCCAAAATAATCACAAATAACTCCTGCATCTTCACTGTGACGACAGTTGTGTCTTCCAATATCTTGTTTAATGCAGTCAGCCAAGGACCTCTCATTTCCTGTGCACTTCACATTATCCACATGGATGGGTCCTTTGCCTTCCCCAAAATAAGCCATGGTTCTTGCTCTGGCAGGACCCCTGGAAACAGAGTATTCTTGAGGATGTGGAGATTCAGTTAATCATACATCTGAATAAACAACATACACTCTCATTCTATTATACTATTTAATTTTTATACACTAAAATTATCATCTATATGTATATATATAGTATATATATATATATATATAAACCAAACCCATTGCCATTGAGTCGATTCCAACTCATAGCAACCCTATAGGACAGAGTAGATCTGTTCCATAGAGTTTCCAAGGAGCGGCTGGGGGATTCAAACTGCTGACCTTTTGGTTAGCAGCCTTAGCTCTTAACCACTGTTTGTTGTTGTTGTTGGGTGCCTGTCGAGTCGGTTCTGACTCATAGCGACCCTGTGTAAAACAGAACGAAACACTGCCTGGTCCTGCACCATCCTCACAATCGTTATTATGCTTGAGCCTATTGTTGTAGCCACAGTGTCAATCCATCTGGTTGAGGGTCTTCCTCTTTTTCGCTGGCCCTCTACTTTAACAAGCATGATGTCCTTCTCCAGGGACTGATCCCTCCTGATAACATGTCCAAAGTATGTGAGACATAGTCTCGCCATCCTTGCTTCTAAGGAGCATTCT